GGGATGTCTACATAAGGGTAACTGGATCCAGCGCTGGGCCGCTGTGTGAGAGCTGACTGAATCAGCTAAAGCTGGAACTTCATCTGCACCTCCTGCCAACAGAAAATCAATTTAGAAAACCGAAAACATTACAGGGTTTTTGCGAGTTTCATGAAGGTGAATTTAAGACTTTTTAAGACCAATTAAAGAAAATGTAAGGAATACATTAAAGGGAACACAATACGTCACTATGTTCTCTAAATGTAAATGTCTAGGGAGAACACAAGTTACTATTAGCAAGACTTCAAAGTTTGAAAATACAACTTCCAACTTTTTAAATTACTTTTGCACACAAAATAACTTTTACTGTACCTTCTGATCACACTGCACAAAACTCATGTTTTTACGGTTTTCCAGTGCAAATGTAAAAGAAAAAAAATTCATGATAGATACAGAAATTACATATGATAAGAAGTCTTGTTTTCTGAGAAATTTATCAAAAAGAAGTGAATTTATGATTAAAAAAAGACAAATATCTATAAATGGGATAAAAAAAAATGGTATTCAAAGGGAAAACATTTCATACCCACTGACAGATATTTGTTTTTGTTTTAAGCATTAACTTGTTCAAGACTTCATATTTTGCATCTCAAGTAAATGTATCTTGATTTAAAAATGTTTAGATATTTGTAATGGAAAACGACAAAAACACTGAGGAAGATATACATTTTTTGCAATGTATGCAACATTTAATGCCTTGGCTTTATGAATTTAAGATATTCTGCTCTTATTTAAGACCTTTTAAGGCCATAATATGTGGAAGGGCAAATAGAGATTTTTTAAGACCTGCATTCCCTTTGTAATTTGTAATTGTAATTCCCTTTGTATCTGTTTGTAATACGCACATGACTGTCTTTGTGCAGGAAGTGCAGTCCGTTCTGATTGACAGCGAGGATGCATGGTGCAGAGATGGTGCTGTTGCTGCTGCTTTGGATGTAAAAGAAGGACGATCCAAACATAGGAAATGCGCACACCAAACCTGAAGTACACACACAAACACCATTCAACAAACCTTGCCTTTCATCATGGTAATATCTGATAACAAAAAGGTAAATAGTAAATGAGGGTGTTTGGCCTCATTTAATAAAATACCCAGGAACTGGGATCTGGCCTGGTGAGGGTTCAGGCTTTGGATGGCATGTACATGTTGAGCAACCAGCTGCATCCACTGCTGAGGCCCCTGTCTTCCAAAGATCTCAACTGGGATGTACTCTGTCAACTCATGACTACAGAAAGAGAACATTTCTACACTGTCAATACACTGAAATTGAATAGGTGTGAAAAGTTTTTTAACTAGAAACATCTCAGTGGAAAACAGTGCCTAGAGGTGTCCTTTTCATAAGGAAACATTTCAACTTTGTATCTTGAAAAAATTCCTTAGGAAAAATACACTACTGTTCAAAAATGTTGAAGCAATAAGATTTTTGTTTGAAAGAAATTAAGGATGTATTAAATTGATAAAAAGTGATAGTAAAGACATTTATAATGTTACAAAAGACTTACGTTTAAAATAAATACTGTTCTTTCTAACTTAATATTCATCAAATAATTCTGGAAAAAATTTATCATGGTTTCCACAAAAACATTAAGCAGTACAACCGTTTTAAATTGATAATTGATAATGTTTCTTGAGCAGCAAATCATAAGGGTCAATTTTTTTAAATTAATATTTATACACCATCTCAAAGCTGAATAAATAAGCTTTCCATTGATGTATGGTTTTGTATGGTTTGTTATGATAGGACAATATTTGACCGAGATACAACTATTTGAAAACCTGGAATCTGAGGGTGCAAAAAAATCAAAATAAATTCTGGAAAAAATGTATCATGGTTTCCACAAAAACATTAAGCAGTACAACCGTTTTAAATTTATAACTGATAATGTTTCTTGAGCAGCAAATCGTAAGGGTCAATTTTTTTAAATTAAGATTTATACACCATCTCAAAGCTGAATAAATAAGCTTTCCATTGATGTATGGTTTTGTATGGTTTGTTATGATAGGACAATATTTGACCGAGATACAATTATTTGAAAACCTGGAATCTGAGGGTGCAACAAAATCTAAATATTGAGAAAATCAAAAAATCTAAATATTGAGAAAATCATCTTTAAAGTTGTCCAAATGAAGTTCAATGCATATTACTAATCAAAAATTAAGTTTTGATATATTTACAGTAGAAAATTTACAAAATATCTTTATGGAACATGATCTTTACTTAATGTCCTAATGATTTTTGGCATAAAAGAAAAATCAATAATTTTGACCCATACAATGTATTTTTGGCTATTGCTACAAATATACCCCAGCGACTGAAGATTTTGATCAGTTTTGTGCTCCAGGGTCACATATTATAATGATTTTTGAAGGATCATGCGACACTGAAGACTGGAGTATTGATGCTGAATAAATTAAATTTTAAACCATATAAAACAGTTATTTAAAACTGTAATAGTATTTCACAATATTACAGTTTTTACTGTATATTTAATCAAATAAATTAACATAAGAGAAGTCTTTTTAAAAAACAAAAAAACAAAATAGATGCATATGAGACGATTGTTGACATGCAATAAAATGTAGATCATATAGAAATGTTTAAGTTGATATTTCTGATTGCAGATATTGATGCTGATTATCCTGTGGGATAAACACCACAGTTTTTTCAGATTGTGATTCTGATTTCCAGATATTACTCTTATGGTGAAAATTAGGTCAAATTGTATGTATATGTAAAAGTCTGTTCATACCAAAAAAGTCACATCAAGAAAGAAGGCTGTCTAAAAATGAAACATAGTAGGCGCGTAGAGACTGTCTTTGGCTCTGTGTTGAAGAGCAGCAAGTTTGGCAAACTGGTTAAACTGCTGTTCACTGATCTTTCCCTGAGGTACGACATTCAACAGACCCTTCAGGTAGTCTGGCAGAACCTGTGCAAATACAAACACACAATTATGAAGGAATAATAGCTGTAGGTATATTACAATTAGGATATATTTGTGGTATGCACCGGTTTAGGATTTCAATGTCATTGTCACACAAAATGTCCTCCAGTAACTTATTATATTTACACTACTGTTCAAAAGTTTGGGGATGGTAAGATTTTTTAAAATATGTTTTTGAAAGAAGTGTCTTATGCTTATCGAGGCTGCATTTATTCAATGATATACGAAAAACAGTAATATTGTGAAATATTATTACAATTTAAAATAACGTTTTTAAAACAATTTAAAATAATGTTTTCTATTTGAATAAATTTGAACATGTAATTTATTCCTGTGATGGCTGAATTTTCAGCATTATTACTCCAGTCTTCAATGTCACATGATCCTTCAGAAATCATTTGAATATGCTGATTTGCTACTCATTATTATCATTATTATCAATGTTGAAAACAGTTGTGCTGCTTAATACTTTTGTGGATCATGACGTTTTTTCTATTAGGATTATTTGTTTATTATTTGAAAGAAAAATCTTTTGTAACATTATAAATGTCTTTACTGTCAATTTTGCTAAATTTAATGCATCCTTGCGGAAAAGAATATGAATTTCTTACCAAAAAAAAAAAATCTTACTGACTCCAAATGGTAATGAACAGTAATATTTTCTTAACACTGTGTCCTGACCAGATGCAATTCCAGGAAGTTTCTACCGTTAGTTTTTATTTTGTCCTCATGGAAAGCTAAATACTGTCAGTTTGAACATGGACAGGATTTCTGGTTAGATGTTTCAGTGCACTGTAGCTGGCATGTGATAAATAAACAAGTCTTGCCTGGTTATAGTGCATGGTGACACAGAGCTCGTTTTCAAACTTGAGCGGATGGGCCCAGATGACTCGTCTGAACCAGAAGCTGTAGTTGGGATCAATTTGTTCTGCCTCTGTTGCGATGTCTAATATGTACTCTCTCTTATTGAGAGGCCGCACATTCTGACCTGGATGACATCACCAAAAATATATGAGTGAATAAATCTGGTGGGGTATGTTTGGAATGGCATACTGCTCATGCTGTTATGCATATTTATATTGTGAACAGTACAGAATATACAAATTCCTATATAGAATACCTGTATCTATTTCCCCTACATTTGCTAAAATAAACACATATAGTGAGGTGGAGAAAATCTTCTAAGTCTTGAAAAAAAAATTCAAAGTTGGATTTCCAGAAGACAAGATAAGACTTTATTGGAAGAAACGACACAGCCGAGATGCCAGCTGACCACCTGAATTGGTCTCTGTTCAGACTAGCTACCATCTTTATACATTTTCGTTATCAATCACTGTCTAATGAGCATATAGACCATTTTTTTAGTGTGTTATTCTCGGTACTTTCCTCAATTATTATTCGTTTCCTTGGCTTCATTTTAATTGTGGATTTCCACCTGTTAGGGGCCGTTCATATGTCGCGCCTAAAAACGCGTGGAAAACGCTAGGCGCGCCGCTTTCCGTTCGGGCGCTTGCGCTCCAGAGGCGTCTGCCGTTGCTAAGCAACCATGACCCGCGCACTTCATGAAGACGCGGAAGTTTCAGCAAAGGATAAATGGATTTGCACCACTAAAAATCGCTTGCAGTAGCTCTGCTACTAAATTTATTTAAAAAATGTCTATCCTGTACAGCTATGATCAGCTGTTCCTTCATCTTGGCTGAGCTTTCAATGTTGTTACGGAAAAGGATGAAGCTGATTGGTTGGTGCTTGCGGCACAGTGTTACCAATTTAGCTACTTTGTAGCTAGATTTAGCGACTTCCCCGCCCCTTTTGAGACTTTTTTCCCAAAAGTTTAGGCATTCTTAAAAAAATGTTTTAATCTGGATGCGGCGCGGACGTGCCTGGAAAAATTAGCGCGTCGCACCGCGTGCGCGTCGCTTCCATTATGAGCCGGTGCGCCTAGCGTTTTTTACGCGTTTTTAGGCTAGACCGCAAGGCCTTCAAAATGCATCTGGCTCTCATGTATGGCAAAGCAGCTTGCACAAACATGCAAAATAACTTCTTCAAATGTTTTATATAAGATACATAAAATATTTAATCAATAGCACTCAATGCAATGCTCTCGACTTGTCATTTCCAGTGTGACTAATGAACCAGACTCTTTATTTGTGACCCTGTCTGTGAAATCCAGGCTAAAGTCTCAAAATCTAATTATGAGATAACAAGCATCAAAGTTTCATTTCAACCATTAATTTCACTATGATTTCAATCTTTGACATGGCCTTACTCAGTCAATATTAAAGATATAAAGGTTATATTTTGACAGAATGTTCTACATCTTTATGAAGGATGATTTTATGTAGAAAACAGTAAATCACAAAAAAATGACTTTTCACAGCAGGGTCACATTTGGTCTAATAAAAGTTACCAATCGCTGAATTAAACATGCAATATGAGGTCATGAAAAAATAAAGAAAGAATACTAGCTTTTGAAGCATTTTTTGTATACTGCGTATATTGCATTATATACAATTTTTTACCATTTATTTCCAATATTCAGTTTATAGTTCGCTAGTATTCAATTCTGAAAATAGCCTTAAGACCCACAACTATAACGATAATGGCACAGAGAAACAATATCGTTGGAATCACTATTTTTTCCAGTTGTTGAACAATAAAAACACTGACAGCCAATCAGAATACATCCTTCTTTAAAGAGTGCGGACATTTAAAGCGGCACATGACAAAACTGCATCGTCTGTGTATAGTGAACAAAATGTTATCATGCGTTGGTATTGACACTAATATAGTTATCGTTATAGTTAGCTTTATAGTTACAGGCCTTTATAGAGGTGTAAGGACATCAATCTGTACCTCTGTTGGTGACTATGAAAACCGTGTACTCATCCATTGCCTCCAGCCTTTGTAACGCCATCTCATAACACAACTCCTCTATGACATCCAGTGCAAACTGCAAACAAAGCAATTTCATCTTAACCTACAATTATAATCACATGCAATAAAAGATATAAACTGACACACAAGACATACGGAGCAGGTTTTGAACTTCAAATGTCTCTCAATTCCTCCAGGGAATAGAAACAGCTGCCGCTTTGAGCTTCGACCAGCCTGAAAACATTCATGAACATTGTAATTCAAAGCACATACACTACCAAACAAAAGACTGGCAGATACAGTAAAAAGAGTAATAATGTGAAATATTAAATTCCATGAAAATGCACTTCTGGACTTCTGCAGACATCTCTTAGGAGCTTGAGTAAGAATGGTTTGAGCACTTCAGAGCAGCGGTAAAATGCTGTCAGAATGTAGAGTAACCGCCAGCCCTTTTGACAGCTGTCACTGCAACACATCACAACCAAACACTCACAGCTTAACACAGAGTCCTATCAAACAAGCAAAAAATAAAAAAAGTTTCATATCTCTGTCTCACGGTTTAGAGCTGGTATTGGCTGTAATCTGTTTGAGGACTTGACAGTATGCCTCATCCTTCATCAGTCCATATTCACCTGTTAACTACAAAAACTGATGAATTTCAGTAAAATTAAAGCCAAAACTTAAACAAACATCAAACACAACTGGGGGTCTATGTGCACTATAGGTAACAGTACAGCTGGCCATATGGATGAGAGGTTATGCCTTACCTTCAGGAAGGTGCAAACCACAAACTGCTCCGACTGGCCCCTGAGAGGATGATCTCCCATGAACTTCATTATGGCTACACCCAAAACAAAAACACAGGAATAAATCTTGAGATATGATGCATAACAAAAAAATAATAAACAAGAATAAAACAGACTGAGTAGCTGTGCTATATCTCTTATCTCACCTAGGAAAATTTCAGAAGCAACCCGGTTCATGTTGGGGTCAGAGAAGTCTATAAGGGACTCTAATATAGGGTTCTGGAGAAAACAAGAGATGGGTGTATTTTTATATGTATATTTCTATGTAAACTATTGTTTAAATGTTTCGTCATGTTTTTGAAAGAAGTCTCTTATGCTCATGAAAGGCTGTATTTATTTAATCAAAAATACAGTAAAAACAGAAATATTTTATTTAAATAAATATTCTATTACAATTTGAAATAACTTTTTTACAGTCCTGTAAACAGAAAGTTCACATTTTTTATTTTCAAAGATTGAGAAAATATTTAACACTGCATAAACACTGCATAAAAATAAAGGTTTAATAATTTCAGCACTTTTATTGTCACATCATTTGCAATCATTATATAACACGACATATAATGCACTGACATTATATCAGCCACCAAACACCTTGTCATAGAGATATTCTGTATCCATGGAGTCATAATGTGTATATATACCTCTAGTGATGGGTCTAGTTCATGTGCAGCTGCACAGCGAGAGCGATAGCTCCTGATGCTGCCACTCGGCCCTGTCTGTACAATTTTAAATAACTGTTTTCTATTTTAAAATGTTTTAAAATGTAATTTATTCCAGTGATAACCAAGCTGAATTTTCAGCATCATTACTCCGGTCTTCAGTGTCACATGATCCTTCAGAAATCATTCTAATATGCTGATTTACTACTCAATAAACATTTTTATTACTATTAATGTTGAAAACAGTTGTGCTGCTTAACTTGATAATTTTTTTCAGGATTCATTAATAAATAGAATGTTGAAAAGAACAGGATTTATTTGTAAATCTGTAAATTAAATTTTTGTAATTTATTTGTTAACTGTAAATGTTCTTACTGTAACTTCCATTTAATAAAGCAATAAGCCTCAAGAAGCCATGGTTTACAGTGAATTTATAACAGCTAAGGGGCGTTTTGTTAGGCACGACGCAAAGCCCCTTAGCTGTTATAAATTCACTGTAAACCATGGCTTCACGGTGTCACACGCTCACGGGGAGCAAGGGAACGAGGAGACGCGGGAGTTGCTCAAAACCAGTAGACTTTAATGATATAAAATAAAATAGGCTACAGCTCAGGAACGCAGGAGGACACAAAGACATATAACACCGGACGCTCGAGACGTCAAAACACAGGGCTTAAGTAACAAGGGAGAAAACGAGGGAATTAATCAACATAACGAGGAAACAAGGGAAACACAGGTGGAATCAAATTAACATAATGAGGACAGGAGCAGGAAGACCAAAAATGGGCATATGAGGGAGGGAAACACAAGACACAGGAACACAAGACTGACACACGGGGCTTATTGCTTTTATAAAACGATTTTCCATATACGTAGTTAGGTTTGACAAAATAAAACAGAGCAAATAAAGTGTAATGATATTAATAAAAACAGCATTTTTCCACCAAACAATTTAGTTCCTCAGAATCAGTTGTGGTTGCAACAAAGTGGTTGCCAAGCAACAGACAAACGTAAACAAAGGTGTATGTTTGTAGAGTAATTTACATCAGCTTTGAACGTGGCTCAGCCAATCAGAATCAAGGACTGTAACTATCCATTTTATAATGATCAATTTAATGCTTCCTTGCTAAATAAAAGTATTAATTTCTTTAAAAAAAAAACTTAAAAAAACTTTAGCGTACTTAAACTTAAACAATGTCTTGTATCCAGGTGCCAATATTTCCCCCACTACAAACTTTCTTGCAAGACATCACTGCTTGTGGTAAAGACCTGTAATGTGTGTATGTGAGAACACTTCTTCTCACCCTCCTCTAATCCATCCATGGCCTGCAGATGAATGATATCTCCTTTATGGAAGCTGAGAAGAGCTCTGTCCTCTGTGATGAAGTATCTCTCTGCTACAACATACTCAGAATCCTGCGCAAGAACTCAGAAGTATGGCATTGCATGTTTAAACAAAATCAGAGGCAGTGTAAAGGCACCTGAAGAAATGACGAGAAGAGAAATCAAAGCACTTTCTGTACCGTCTTAAGATGAGAGATGAAGAGATCAATCATATGTTTGATCTGAGTTGCTTTGGCTGAGAACAAAATCAATTTCTCATTCATCAGATTAAACTCCAGCATGTTTTGAGAGGGGATGGTCACAAACAGGATGTCTGTGTAGCTGTGGTAGAGAGTGAGAGTTTAGATGTTTTAGGAGGTGTATGGCTGACAGATGGTTGAATGGCTGGATGGATGACGCACCTGTACGGACGGAGCACTTGGAAGTAGTCTGGAGCTGCACTGCTGCTTTTTACTGTCTTTAGAAGTTTGATACCAGAGTGAGACACCGCCAACACCTGCACTCCAGTACCCACACTGCCCTGCAAACACACACACAGGTGACATATTGGCCATAAGCCCCAATGCATTCATACTAACAGTCTTCCAGGAAAAGGAACTCACAGAGGCAGGAAAAGGGTGAGAAAAATAAATCTCCCATGACTCCCTGGCAGCTGCAATCACAGCTTTCTTCACACTCTCATCCCGAACATCTGTGTCCAGCTCGATGCTGTATTGTGCTATGAAACACAAACACGTACCATACTAACAGACCAGTGTAGTCATCATAAACAGTAAACTGAACAAGTTATCTCGGGAAATGATTTCAAATAGAACAGAATTATTATTATTATTTTTTTTTAAAGATTTATTTTTGGCGGTTTTTTTATGCCTTTTTATTTAGATAGGACAGTAGGTTGACAGGAAGTGAAGTGGGTGAGAGGGGGGGGGGATCGGGGGATTCTTTAGTAATGTGCACACAGACCTCTGTAAATGTGTCATTAACAATCTGAAAAACAAAATTGAAATATCAGAAATAAGTTACAAGGAAAGTAATACTCTTATTCAGCAAGGATGCATACAATTAATCAAAAGTGACTAAATTAAATTTGTTTAAAAATCATTTTACTTTCATAAGTAAACATTTTAACATTTATAATTTTAATTTCAAATAAATGCTGTTCATTTGAACTTTCTATAACATTAAAGAATCCTGAAAAAATGTATCACTATTTCTACAAAAAAAAAACATGAGCATAACAGACTTCTTTCAAAAACATAAAAAAATAAATATAAATAAATAAATAAACAGTAGAGTATATACAAAATGTATTTATTTATTTACAATATAATAGAAAAAAAAATCTATATTGCATTTGTACAAGTTTTATTTTACTTTTAATTACTAATTTCTTTATTTTAAAAAATGTGTTTTTTAGTTTATCAAAATATTATTATTACTATTATTTTAGCTGACTTTTTTAGTCAGACGGTATTATGAAGGTGACCGTGATTTCACCAAGTACAACAACATCCTTGTTGATCCTGGAATAACATTCCAATTAACCAATCAGAATTAAGGGATAACTTTTCAGTAAATAACTGTTTTAGGCTTACGATCAGGGTTAGAGGCTTCTACACCCTTGTTAATCAGCTATCATTTTACACTGATTTTAGGACTAAATTATGGGTAGGGTTAGGGTTAGGGTTAGGTTTAGTCTATATTTTTGGACAGTAATATTGATCCAGGATCAACAAAAGATGTTGATCCAGGAACATGTCTTACTTGGCAAAATCACGGCGACCGTATTATGAAGGTGCTGTGTGGAGTATCACTCACCTGTTTGAATATGAGGTCCAGCACTAGAGGATGGTTCCAAGTGTCTTTGGGATAGAAGACCTACAGCAATTTGTACAGCAGCGTTAGTTCTGAAACTGTGATGTGTTCATAATGATCCACAAAATGATGAAGTACACACTTATAAACAACAGCTAAATTAAACACACACCTCCTTCCTGAGGTATATTTTCCAGGGAACGTTTGTGTAAGTGTAATGCTCCTCTGTGCTGCTCCTGTGCAATTGTGTTTGGATGCTCTCAGATTCCACTGGAAGATCTCTGGACACTGGTGTGTGTGTGTGAGAGAAGGCGAAAAAGAGATGGAGAACATATGCTTTATATATGTACGCTGCTGTCCAAAAGCTTGGAGACTGCAAGATTTTTTTATGTATTTGAAGGAAGTCTCTTATAATCACCAAGGCTGTGTTAATTTGATAAAAAAATACAGTAAAAACAGTAATATTGTGAAATATTATTACAATTTAAAATAACTTGTTTTGTATTTTCATATATTTTAAAATGTAATTTATTCCTGTAATGGTAAATCCTGAATTTTCAGCATCATTACTCCAGTCTTCAGTGTCACATGATCCTTCAGAAATCATTCTAATATGCTGATTTGCTGCTCAAGAAACATTTCTTATTGTTATCAATGTTGAAAAGAGTTGTTCTGCTTAATGTTTTTGTGGAAACCATGACATATTTTTTCAGGATTCTTTGATTAACAGGAAGTTCAAAAGAAACGCATTTATTTGAAATATCCTTGCTGAATAAAAGTATATTTTTTTTACTGACCTCAAACTTCAGAACAGCAGTTTCTCTCTTACAAAAGGCAATGTGCTGTTACAGTGATGGTATCAGATGGTAATACTATAATACTTTGATAGATACAATGGCACTGTATCATTACCACATTCATATGCAATAGTTTTTATATGGTACTCCACAGAATACCATGGTAGTGTTCAAAAAGAGATAAAACCGTGATAATACCATAGTATTTTTGTAAGCTATGCGTAAGTGTGTTTGTGTGTTGTTTACCTGGTGGTGGTAAAGCCAGTGGTGATTCTGGTGCTTTCTTCTTGCTGCTTTTAGTTGGTTTAAGGCCTCCATCTCTGGACACGGCAGCTGGAGTGGGAGCCTTTCTCTACACAAACAGTTATTACACAGAGCAAGATATTATATTTAATAAAAGTTTGCAAAGACTATGTGCATAATGCGACCAGGAATGCATATAAAGGCTGATTTTGATTTAATGTTAACATGAATTCCTTGCAATTAATAGACTTAAATAAATGTATAGCTCATTTCAAACAAGACAAAAACATCCTGAAATTTAAACGCGCCTCCAGGACTTGGACCAAGCGCCCCCTTGTGGAATATAACTTTGTTTACGATAACAAATGGTTAAATAGTTATTAGCTGGCAATGTTTAATAGCTCAGACATGCTTTAATTGGTTAGTACAGAAGTGACAGAGGTAGACAAACCTGTGGAGGAGGTGGATTGTCACTCTGTGTTTTTAGGATCTGCATTGCTTCATCGTGTGGGTTCAGCTTCTTCACAAAAGCTTTACCTTCTCGCCTGTCATCAAACACATGGCATTCTTTGAGTTAATAAGAGTGGTAATAAAATCATGTGATTGTATGAAACGTAGGTGCTAATGCACAGGAGGAAACACACCTCTGTATCTGCGGCATAAGTTCTGGGGGCGGTGTTTGATATTGCTTAATAATATCTTTAATGTTGTGGCTGGGAACGATGTGCTCAGAGTTAGAGACTGAATATTTCACCACCTCTGCGCCAGGAGCCGGAGCAGAACGCAAGGGACCCGTGATGGCAACGGGAGCTGAGAGAGAAAGAAAAAGAGGGAAAGTGTTGGAATATGCAGAAGTTACATAAAATGCATTTGTTTCAGTTGTTGGACTTAATTAGTCTTGAATACACATATATACGATTAAATGTAATGACATACCATGTCTTTTGGCAGGCCTGCTGTCAAGTTTAACTGGTGCAGCGGGGGCTTGTTTCTTCCCTAATGTCCCATTAGATGATGCAGTCTGAAAATCATTTAACCAAAGGTAATAAATCATCATCAAAACAAAAAACAAAGCAATTCTCATATTAAAACATACTCAGCAGTTAAACAGATACACAGACTGGATATATATAAGTGAAAAAAAATTAACTATAGACAATCAAAATTCAATTAGAAGCAATTAGAATATTTTTGATATTTAAAAGTAACTGCTTTCTATTTTATTTTAAAATGTAATTTATTCCTGTGATGGCAAAGTCTTCTATGTCACATGATCCTTCAGAAATCATTCTAATTTGCTGTTCTGGAGCTCAAGAAAATTTCTTATTATTATCAATGTTGAAAGCAGCTGTGCTGCTTAATATTTTTGTTTAAACCATGATACAGTACATGCTCTTTTTAGGATTCTTTGATAAATACAAAGTTCCAAACAACAGCATTTAAAAAAAAAAAAAGTAATCTTTTGTAACATTATAACTGTCTTTGCTGTCACTTTTGATCGATTTAGTGCATCTTTGCTAAATAAAGGTATGAATTTCTTAAAACAAATTTCAATATATACAGTATATATATATATACACAGTATATATATATATATATATATATATATATATATATATATATATGGGTCAAAGACGAAAAAGTGTTTAAGCATAAGAACAATAAGTGTAACACTGCTTTAAATTGTTATTGTTTTTCCCCCAAAAAATTTAAAAGTTTTCTGTTTAATTTAATTGCAATTTTGTTTTCCTGAGCAAA